TTGAATGCAAGATGATATGGGGCAAGTTGAGGTTGCAGAACTCATTTTTGAACGCCTTCTCCCTGATTATGGCGATTGTGTGTGATGGCCCCGTAAAGCTCGAAACGCAAGCCTTTCCACTTTAGGCCACTCGCTGGAGACAGGGGCACACAACAAGCTCCGGAATGTGCTGAGGTGGTCCTCCGAAAAGATAAACACCTCTCAACAACCCGAAATCGCCACTGCGTGAACACCCTTCAGCGCCACAAGTTCAGGCATCTTTCGCACGTTTTGGTCCATTCATGTAGGCGGGCGAAAATGCGAAGCCTTACTCACTTTGAATCCTTGCACGCTGAAGCTCGACGGAAAAAGCGAAGAGCTGGCACCTAGAAAACCCTGAACCCTGATAAACCGCCTTGAAAGGAAGAGTTCCAGGATCCCCTAAAGCAATGCCCCAGCACAGCTGAGGATCGTGGAGCCGCCCAGCCACGTCTGCATCTGCAGCTCCTGCGGCAGTTTTGCTTGGGCATTTTTGGGAGCTTCTAGAGTTTAGGGTTGCAGGGGTTCAAGGCCTTCAGGGCGCGGCTCGTTTTGTTGAGGACTTTGGGGCTCTTAGGTGTTAGCGCTTCACAGCTCAAGTCTCGCTCCCTCCTTGACCGCCATGAATTAGAACAGCCTGCAATGCACCAAAGGAGAATCCCTCAAGACTGAACCCCGAGCAGCGCAACTCCGACAGCACCCCCCGCCCCCCTCACACTTTGCTTGGATAGCCACGACTGGAATCTCCTAGCTCCTCGCTTCACAAGTGACATCGTCCGTCCTCCCCGTAGCCCATGTGCCCGATTTTCGTGCACAGGGAGGAGCCGGTGTCCTGGGACACGGCACTTGGTCCGTCTCTGCTCACGTACAGACTCGAGAACCCTCAGCCCCAAGTTTCAGATCCAGCTTGTTGAGAGGAGGGCCATCTACAAGTGGATCGCACGAAGACCAAGAGCGAACATGAAACCTGACGAGAAACACACCCAGCAGTTGTAACATTCAGCTGAAACTGGCACGAAAGCTCAAACCTTGAAGCCTTAGGCCTTCGGCCTTAAGGTTAATCCAACCTTGCAGTTACAGGCTGTCAGACCTGAAGTGCTTGTTTCGACCCTAGCTTCTAAGCCTTAAGCCCTTCCACCTCAACACCTAAGCCCAGACACCTAAGCTTCTAATCTCGAGACCTGTAGCCCCATCCTCGCGCTGGCATGAACCCTCCGGCAACCTTCCTGCTAGCCCGATCCCCTAAATCCCAAGCCTGTTAAGCTCTGCAGTAATAGTCCACTGCATGTTGGTAGACGGCCTATCGGCAGAGGCCTGAACAGATTCTCCTGCCACATGGTTGGCTCCCAGTTCACGTTCACCAAGGCGATGGGTAAGAGTTGAGAGCCTCCGGCCTGGGGAGAGATTTTAGGGAAACCTCGGGGTGGATGACAGTTAAAAAGTTTTTCAATGCGGGGAGTGAGTGAGGCTTGAGGGTTTTGGGGTCGAGGGTTTCACATGCTGGAGGGTTTGGGTTTCAGAGGAGACGGGCTGAGAGGTTGCTGACTTCAGGTTCCTACGGAGTTACCAGGGTTTCGCGATATCCTAACCTCAACCCGGAACTCTGAACCCTAAAACTCTGAAGCCCAAACCCTGCCTGGAAGGAGAAGACCGCTGTGCGCGTGGACGGGCCTCTGAAGATTGGCCTTGTCCTCAGCCCCACAAAACGAGCCAACATGCTGTTCTTCGTGAGGGAACCTAAGCCTTGACATGGTAACTAGGCATATGATTAGGTTGAGTTACTGGAATGGGATGTACATGTTGAAAGAGTCTGCTTTGAGCTTCGTATGTATTTGGGGTTTCGAGAGACCACATGATGAGCAGACGGATCTGAGGGTTTGGGGTTTCTGAGTCCCAAGCAGTATTTTTCCTGGGGTCTGAAGCCGCATCCCCGAATTTGGAGTAGGAGAAGGGGTATTTTTGCATCCTCTACAGTGTTTGCACATGTTTATTTCCTGAACCCTAAATGCTTACGTTGCAAGAGTCCAAAAGCAGCAAGCCCTCGCTTGTGGGCATTGATCCCTAGCCGTCATCGTGTCACTCAGCAGTCGAGTCGAGTCTGAAGTGCAGGATGTTTGAAGCTTTGTTCCTTCACCATATTTCATCGAGCTTCACGGCAGCTGGACTGCATGCTACAAACGAGCTAGCCCGTGTTTTTGCTTGCTTCTCACAGCACGAAGCGTACCGTGTTTCTCTCTGACTGGACGGACTCGGGCTTGCTAGTTCTGCAGGTCTGCACAACCACAAAGGTGACCTTGCAAACCTTGTGACAGCCACGAGTGCCAAGCAAACAATGTTACAGGTAGTGTTGATCTTATTAAACTAATTGGCTCTGAAACAAGCGCACCAATACACGAGCCATCACGAGCCCCATCTGCTTGATGTACGGACAGACTGTCCTGCTGCCCTGGTTTGCTATCATGTGTCAGTTGCACTTGCGCCACCAGGTTGTGCTGGCTTCGGGAACATGGTCCAGCACACGCGAGGCACGTGTGGTCAAAAAGTTGGTATCGAGAACTGTGTACGTCATCGAACCCATGCTGCCACCATACAACTTGGTCACAACCACAGATATTCATAAGTTAAATAATCACGTCTTAATATCAATACCTATTCTCCGGTTGATGATTTTTGCAAATTCAATCAAGAATTTGTATTTAGAGATCTGTAAGATCGATTAGATAATGAAGACTGGAATATATTCTCTATTCATTTGGTGTCGTGCTGCTTGCGCCCATGATTCTGTGCGCGCCCTGGTCCCCTGTAACTTGGTCGTTTGACGCGCTTCCTCTTGTAAGCCTCTTGTATGTTTGTCTCGCGGTTCTAAAATTTCGGAAATTTTGATCTCTTCTCCGAAATTCTGGTAGTTTTAAGAATTCGTGGTAAGAAAATTTATAGGATTTGGGGATGCCGTGCTTTCTGAATGTAGATATTTCTATTACTAGAAATTTATTATTTATTGATTTTAATAAAAATTTGAATATATCATTATCTTATATATAAGAGTATATATTGATTTTAATATATTCTAAATAATTAAAATATATAATTTTTTAAATTCAAAATTGTTTCGGTAGCAGTTTGGGCGATGAGCGGCTGAATCGCCGGGCAAGTGATTGCGAGGTCTAGGGCAAGGCGAAAGAATTTCCTCCAAGAATTAGGTTTCAGACAGCGATTAATAATTTATCGGTAGGGCGTATCTAGATCTCGGAAATTAGTCCAATTATTCCGGCATTTATCGTAAACCGATTATTTGAGCAAATCGGAATATCATATTTCGAAGGGAATATAGATATTATATTTACTCCCCTATTATATATAATTCATGATATAATATTCTTAAGGATGAAGTGCTTAGCTACAATATATGTATGCTTCGTCTTCTTAAAAAATCGGTATCCTCAATCGTATATTGATAATATCTGAAAATTTAACGTCAGAGAATAACAAATCTCGTGTGGGCGAACTTATAATTTGTAACCAAGCTCCGGCTCCGAATACAGCCACTGCTCGCAGCCTGGCCACTGCTCTGGAGGAGGTCTCGGAAAATGGCGTCATAAAGATTTTGAGGTATTGAAGCCTGATCTAGCTATATTATGATAGATATTTTATTATTAATAGATCTATTAAATATATTAATATGAAAATCATTTATTTAATCTATCTTATCAAAATTATTTATTTAAGACTATAATTATATCTCAATTAATTTAATTAGTTTATCCTACTCCTATCATTACTAATAATGAATAATCAATATATAAAACAAAAGAAAAAATAATAAATTATCATAAATAGAAATAAAGAAATATATAAAAATAAATTCAGATAGAGAAAGCAAATAGAAATAAATCTAAATCCATAAAATATAGAGATAAATATAAATAAATAGAAAAATATATAAATATGAAAAAGAAATAAATAAATTCAGGCCGACGATAATTATAGAGATAGAAATATAAATAAATATTCAAGAAATTATATAGAGAGATATATGAAAAAGATATAGAAAAAATTTTAATAGAAAGATTTATAAAGAGATATATAGAAAGATATATAGATAAATATATTAATAGATTTACCGATAAATAAAAAATGCACTTAATTCAGAAAACACTATACTAATCTTGGCATTATTAACCTTTCCGAAAAAAACAATTCCCTTTATATTTCTGAAAAATGTGAAATTTAAATACCACGAGATTCCTAAAGCTACCAAAATTTCGACGAATTTTAGTACTAAGACAGAAATATCAATAATAACAAAATTCCGAAAATTTAATACCACGAGACAAGCACGACAGAGATTTCCAAAAGAAATGCGCCAAAAGAGCAAATTACAGAGAAATCTAGATAAAATAGAAGTGGCCAGCACGACACCATTTCAGTAGAGAATATTAGAAATAAATTCTGTTGAAAATTAAAAATATTAATCCAAAAAAAGAAAGAATTAGCATAAACATATCATCATAGTTTTTGATTCAGAAAATATCATTATTAATAATTCTTTTTTAATATTTATAGATTATTATAAAGATGCGCCGGAAACCAGAATTTTTTCAAAAAAAATTCTAAAATAAAATAATAATAATCCAAGCCAGTCGCCATACCATTATTTCAGAAATAATATCCTCTTCGTCATATATCTTGGGGGAAGTATTCATCTATTGGAATTTAATTACAATCCCATCCTGAAAATATTATATAAAAAACAAATCTCATCATACTCTTCTGTACATATTTGAAATATCTTTTGAAAATTCGTTTTTCCTTTAGCAATCCTCCATTCAGACTATTCTAATGATATATGTTTTTTCGACACATTAACTTAACTAGACGAACCATATAAAATAAGGTTTGCCGTACTCCACATCCTCCATATAATATTATGAAGAAAGGGTTGGCTTCCGTGGGAAGGCAGTAACGACCATGTTTTTCGCAGGTTACTCTTTGCCCCATCTCCGCATGCATACTGCCGCCGTCGTGATCATGGTTGTCATGCCCTCAGTTCCGTTGGCAGAGGCTTTGGGGTTTAGGGATGTGTAGAGGTTTAGGATTTGCAGTTTGGAACTACAGTAGAACACACGGCCATACTAGAAAGAACAGGGTTTAGGCAGCAGACTTTGGATAGAGAGCATGTTGGCAGGTTCTTTGTTCAAGCCACTTTCTTGGTTGGTTGCTGGGGCTTTCCACTCGCGTCGAAGACCGGCACCTTAGTTCCTGCCACACCTGTCACCATCCGATACGACACAAAAAAAGCTTCAATATCATGTCGTTTGAGCCGAGGATGCACTTTCAACACAGCTGTTGAGTCCTGAAAGGAAGGAGGCCCAATCTGCAGACAGAAATGATGCATATCGCTTGCGAGTCCACAGTGAATGCAGCCTTGCGGCCAAGACCAAGTACCTTGGCAGCAACGGGTCCCAAACCGGTCTGGGACTTTTGTACTGAAAGCGCCACTGTTGCCCTGACACACACTCATAGAACTATGGTAGAAGCACGGAGGCCACACTTCCGGACAAAATTGTTCAGCCACTGGGCTATATAGAGTATCCTACCTCAACCCTAGACCGTACAATTCAATAGCTCACCTTGAATTAAACCCTAAACCCCTCAACGCCGCAAATACGAAATCCCTCAAGAGCCAAACCTCCAAACCCCAAAACCCCTTAAAGCCTAAACCCCAAACCTCCAAATCCCAAAACCCCTTAAACCGTAAACCCCAAAAATCCAAACCCCCACAACCCCTTAAACCCTAAACCCCAAAAATCCTAAACCCCCAAAACCCCTTGAACCCTAAACCCCAAAAATCCAAACCCCCCAAAACCCCTTAAACTCTGAACTCCTCAAGGCCCCCTACCTTTGGCCCAGCTGCGTGTAGCGCAGCGAGACGCGGCCGAAGGAAGCCGGGGGATCCCGTTTTAGGATGAGCTCCTTTGGAGCCGGCCAAGGGTCTTTAGGAGGGTTTAGGGTTTAGGACCATGAAAGAGTTCTAGAGGTTTTCGTTTGCTTGGGTCTGAATAGGGTTTGCGGGTTTAGGACTGAAGAGTTCTGGAGGGTTTCGTTTGTTTGGGTTTTTATGGGACTAAAGAGTTTAGGACTAAAGAGTTCTAGAGGATTATTTTTGGCTTAACCTAAGCTTTCGGAGCTTGGGGTTTGACTTTGGGTCGGGTGCCGGATGAAGGCGCAGGCAGCTGCGGAGGCGTCCGAGCTGTTGCGAGGCTGCCCAGAGACTCCAATACCCCTTAATTAAGGAATAGACCTTAAATTGTAGTAGGATCCCTAATGTGATTTAAAGTATATTCCTTAATTAAGGGGTATTGGTGTCTCTGGGTGATCTACTTGAAGAGTTCGAGGCTGCTGAAAGCGTCCTTGATGGCATAGTACCGGGCACGCCCGGTGAAAAGCAAGATCAAGACTAGCAGGGCCATGAGAACTTCCTCAGCTGAAGGAGTGGGCACTGAATTTTCTAGCCTAGAATCTGTTTGCAATTGCTGCAGAGGCTGGCCCCATGTCTGGTTCTCAGACCCTGACCACCCGACGAATCCAAAGATGGTTTTTTTGAACTGTTAGTCCATTCGTCATGCAGAGATACATCGCCAATTACGACTATGACGAGCATGGGTACAGCACCTTACATTGTGCTGCAAACAGCTTCGGGAAATGATTAGGGCTGACTGTCGATTCCTTTCGGGTCACTTGGGGTGCAGAATGATATTTTGCGAGTGTGCCGTACCAGCTCTAAAGCAAGACTTGAGAACTTGACATCTTGCGGATCCTAGCTGCATTTCCATTCGTTCATGACGGTAGACCTCTCTGGAAAAATGCTCTCTTCGATTTTGGAGCATAGCGTCATCACCGCTGGCGCACGCTCTGACACGTATGGCGGACATAGGGACGTCTCAGTCGTGACTGTATCATGCGATCCGGGGCTGTTACTCACAACCTCTGATTACGACCGACCGAATGCATCCGCTGATTCAGTGGAATTAGGCTCACATTGCTGGAAGACTGCGGAATACGCGCGACGGCGAAATCACTACCGTTTAGATGCCAGGAAAGCCGCGCTGATGGAGACGCCGGCCTCCCAGAATCGGCTGACTCCCTCAATGGCCTGGGATAGAGTTGGTTTAGAATTTAGGTCGGCTTCCCATCCTGCCATGATTTTGCAAAGCTTCCATCGGTTCTGCAACACACCTGATGCAACACTTAAGCCAACCCCAAACCGTGGCTGGGCCGAAGATGATGAGAAAATCGATTCTAGTTTTGCATGGTGTCTGTTGGTGTGCAGTGCGGCATGGCCGGTTCAAAAATTTGCGGGCCGGTCTAGTCGCAAAGAACTGCCTTCGAGCTGGTACGTTGCCATGGATGACCTCTTCCACGCTTGCATTTTCCACGACGCTCCGAAATACCTCCTTGCCCGTGTGCCGTAAGTATACAGCCGTCACAGGGCCCTCTCTTTCAACTGGGAACGGGTCAGGCTGGGACGAAGGGCGTAAAAGAACAGCCGTTGCGGTGCCAAGTGGCATAAAAGACGAAGATGGTCCGAATGCCTGCCGAACAACTCGCAGGTGATCCGAGTCTGCAAGACTCCCAGCAACAGAAGCTTCCTCCTTTCAAGAAACAGCCCTAAACCCTAAACCCTAAAATCCCTAAAGCCGTAAGGTCTGCACAGAACTCGAGGGGCCCTGGCCTGCCATGGCAGTTCGAATCCAAGCGAGGAGTGTCCTGAGAAGTTCAACGCGCATGGATGAAAAAGCGCTCGCCGGCGCTGAGGTTCTGGCTCTTTCTAACAGACTCTAACATGTATGCTGTATGTGTATATGTATGCAAATACGTATGTGCCAATCACAACTTGCACAATAAGCTGAATGTGAAGCAACACATGCCAGGTTATGAATCGTCAGAGCATTTACTTAAGCTTTCATTCAAAGCTAATTACTTTTACTGCTAAACCTACAACCCTAAGCCTCTACCCTAGAGCTTGTTTTGAGGGCCTTTTGGCATCTGAATTTTGTGCATCTAGGTATTGTGGCCTAAACCCTCAACCCTCAACCCTGAACCCTAAAGCCCTAAACCCCTAAAAACCCCAAACCCCTACCCTAAACCCTAAACCCCTAAACCCTAAAGCCCCAAACCCTAAAGCCCTAAACCCCTGCCCCGGACCCTAAACCCCCAAAGCCCTATAGACCTCAAATCCCCAAACCCCCCCTACTAAACCCCCTGAACCATATAATCCCTAAGCCTCAAACCCCAAACGCCCTACTAAACCCCCTAAACCATATAATCCCTAAACCTCAAACCCCAAACCCTAAACCCTAAACCCTTAACCCTAAACCCCCTAAACCCCAGACTTGACGATGGCACCGCTCGTTGGCGAGGTCCGTGGAGAGGCGATTGAAGCCTTCACAGGGACTCCAAAACCCCTTAATTAAGGAATATACCCTAAATTATAATGGGAACCCTAACATGATTTAAGGTATATTCCTTAATTAAGGGGTTTTGGAGTCTCTGGGTTCGATCGTGCTCTTCTTTCACAACATGGGAGTTTCCGAAAATAGGGGGGTCTCTTATTTTGGGGTCCTTATAATAAGGATCCTATTATTTAGGGTACTATATCAGGGTCCCCTATTTTCGGAAACCCCCACATCGAAGTTCTACATGCAGAGTTTAAACGAGTAGGGTTTAGGGGTCTAAGGGCTGAGGGATTATGATGCTTTATGTAGCATGCAGGCGTTTAGGGCTTCGGGCTTTGTGTCTAGATGTTGAGGGTCAAGGGGGTTTGGGTCTACAGCTACGTGACTACGATGTCAAGATGTCGGCATGCATCATGTCAATATCTTCCGTATCAAGATAATAAACTGATGACGTTCAAATCCTGTATCCGGTGCCATTTTCTTTCATACGTTCAAGATGACAAATTCGCGGCCTTCCGTAATGGGCCTGCATCCACCTACCTGTACCAGCGAGTTCTGTTACCGAACCCCGAACGACATCGCAGTGCAGGTTGAGCAACGCTCCATGGCCGTGACGATTTCGTCGGTTTGCTGGGCAAAATTTTCCCACCGCACCTCCAGCTGCAACAATGAAGCCGATGTACAAGCTAAGCATCGCTGTGCTACATGCTGGCGCATATGGGTAGTTCTCTGAATTAGGGTTCCCTTTTTGGGCCACCCAAAGAACCTATCACAGGAGGACCATGGGACTTAGTAAGTAAGGTTATAGGTACCCTAATTGGGGTTATAGGTACCCTAATTGGGGTTACCCTAATTGGGGTTATAATTCTAGTTACCTTATACGTAACCCTAGTTACTAAGTCCCATGATCCTCCAAGTATCCCTGATGCCATGGGCTCCGCACACGCGACATGCGCAGCAGGCTGGTGTAGCTGGCGGAGTTGGCGCTTTGGACGACCTGCGGTGAAGGTGCTGGTGCTCAAAAACCCTAAACCCTAAACCGCTTGAAACAACATCTTCAGGAGCTTTCCGAGACGCGATAGACAAGAAGCCAGAACAGTCGGAGGCCCAAAGGTCTAAGGTGACAACAACGCACCCATCCTAAGCCCGAGGACTTTGTAAACCCTGAATAAGCCTAAAGCTCTCAACGCGTGGGTCCAGGGTCAGGAATCAAGGACCCCCTAGACCCTAAACCCTAAACCCTGAACCCTAAATCCTAAACCCTAAATCCTAAACCCTAAACCCTAAATTCTAAACCCTAAATCCTAAACCCTAAATCCTAAACCCCGACCCCATGTCACACCTCCAGGCGGCGTCCCTCGGGTGGGGCACCTGCGGCCTTCGAAGGGACAACGGGGAGGCGGATTCTGAAGCTTCGATACTTGGAGGATCATGGGACTTAGTAAGACATGTTAAAAGTACCCTAATTGGGGTTATAGGTGCCCTAATTGGGGTTATAGGTGCCCTAATTGGGGTTATAAGTACCCTAATTGGGGTTATAATTATAGTTACCTTATTTCTAACCCTAGTTACAAAGTCCCATGATCCTCCAAGTAAGGATACGGAAAAACTCCACCCGTAGGCCCCATAGTAGTTCCTTTTGGTGTTCATAGTTAGAACCCTATACGGTAATCCCAAAAAGGAACTACTATGGGGGCCTATGGGCAAGGACGTGCGAAATCCCAAATCCGCCTTTGGAGGCTCGTCGCTTTGAAACCTGAGCCGAAGATCTCACCACTTCCCTTCGTGACATTATAAATAAGGCATGGGGGATGATACCGGTCTGCTTCACAGTTTGAGCTGCCAAGCTTGGAAAATGCGATGCACAGGTGCTCCGGACTGCACTGAGAGGACAGGGTGCCGATCTTGCTACCGGTATCAGCAGACACCCTTCGCACGGGCAAGTACGTTTATATAAGCAAGGGCACGAGTTGCCGGGAAAAGAGTTGGTGGGCTTCTCGTATACATGCACCGTCAGGACGAAGTCTTCCTTGGAGAGTCGATCTGCTCAGCCAGTCGTTTTGAACAGACTCAACAAGGCCCCAGCAAACAGGCATCATCTCGCGGCTCAATTCGAAAGCTAGACGCCGTAACCCCAAGCACATACTCGGCAGGGCACAGGGAGGCCGGCATGAAGCAAAGCCGCGGAGAGGGGAACGACAGGGCCAGTGGCCTGGTGAGACAAACCAGAAGCAACAAGGGCTGAGCTTCGAGAACATTGCATCCCTGGAACTTAGGATGTGGGATTCTAGACGTGGTCTTTAAGAGTTTAAATATCAGGGAATCAGGGTCCTATGAGCGCCGAAATCCGAATCCCCAAATCCACACAAAAGTCTGAAACCCAAACCCTTATAGAAGTCTTATGGATCCCTCATAGAAATCCGAAACCGAAAACCCTCAAACCCAAACGCCAAGCCCTTGTCAAGCAAAGTCGGAGTTCACTTCCCTCGGCGTTTGCCTCTGGGGTCGAAGTGCAGAAAATGGCATCCTTGCAGGGCAGGGTTTAGGGTTTAGGGTTTAGGGTTTAGGGTTTAGGGTTTAGGGTTTAGGCCAACTTAAACCCTGAAGCTCGGAGTTTATAATACATGGGGCTTAACGTCGGATGTAACTGAGGTTTAACTGACCCCGGGTTTGCGGGGTTTTGGGTGAAGGGGCCTTGAAGCAAACCATGATTGTGGCTGTTTCTTGTTGCAGGGACTTCTTACTTCTCTGGGTTGGCTTTGGGGCCCTGAAAAGCATTTATCAATATGTGTACCTCTCTAAGAACCAGAAGGAACCTGCCACGACCACGGTACCGTTATTGTCATTGTAGTACTCGTAGACAGGAAGGTTGTTAGCATACAGTCTCCAGTACAGCACAGGGTCTGTCTTATATGTATCATTATAATATGTGTATGTAGTCTAGATCCCGTAGACCCCTTTGCTCGCGCCTCGGGTGCTCCCACACGAGCTGCCACTGTACGATGCAAGGATGCAGAATCCACGCCTTCGTACCTTTGAGAGCACTTCGAGAAAGCAAGGCAGGAAAATGTGGAGCAACGCGGTGAAGCCGGCCCTTTCCAAGTCGGACGCACACCTATGGTCTAGGCTTGGCTAAACCGACGTCCACGAACCTTGCTCAAAGACATCAAAAATGCCAAGAGGCAAGGCCAGTTGGAACACTTGCTGGCCTGGAAATGGCAGAGTCTCAAACGACTGGACGCCACGGGAACGTTAACATCATACTATTGTGTCTTGATGATGGTCGCTCCTAGAAACCCATTTCAAAGTCTATTTCTACAGCAATCAGCTCACCACAGCAGAAGCAGAATGCTGAATGACATGCCGCAGATGCAACCATGCAACCATCCGAAGAGCGCAGCCGCAGCAAGTGGAAGGATGTGCTGCAACCTCGTGGTGAGGGACACGGCTACTTGGTCTTGTCATCTTTCTGCCTGACCTTTCGCAGCGAAAGCCGAGCCGGCTTTGCTTTCCAATGGGCAAACTGAAGCTTGCTATCATGTCATGGCCCCAGATTGCCTGCCGCCGTTTTCGGCGAGTTGGGATTTGACGATGGCCGTGTCAACGGCATGGGAACGATGGCTCTGCGTCTGTTTGGTGTGGCTGTCTGTGTGTCTGTGTTTGTGTGTGTGTGTGGGGGAGCAGGATACCGCATGAGCAACATCTGGGCACATGCGGGCCATCGAGGTCCGAGGAAGCTTTGCGGAAGATGGCGAGCGGAGCACGAAAGTTTCAATAGTTCCACATGCTCCATACTACTCCCCCAACTGGCCACAGAACTGCTGTCTTCGTACTCTCGCTAGGAATGCACACCGTTCGTGAACACGGGTAGAATCTTAGAATAGGGTGAGATTAATTAGGATTAGGATTGGTTAATGGAAAAGGCATCGGGGCAGATATTGGGGCCTGTCACGATTGAATGTCAGTCGGACTGAAGCTAGTGACAGCTAGTGCGCTTCCAGCATGCAGATCCCAACATCACCACCGTCATCACTACCACCACCGTGACGGTCACCGTCACCACCGCCACGAGTATGAACAGCATCAACATCACAGTGGTGGTCGCTGTCATCGCAGTTGCAGCCATCGTCACGGCTCAGTCATTTTGTCAGATTTCCGCAAGGCAAGGCAAGGCATTTCCACCGTCACCCATTGGGCATTGGACCCAAGTTGTGCATTGGACCCAGTTGCAGCGCGGTTGCTCGCCACCCATGTTCTCGCAGCACGACAAGCCCTCATGGCATCCACCAGTGTGTACCCCAAATACCAACTGTGAAACAAGATAAATCGGCAGAATTGCAGATTCAGGCTGAAACAACCAGCTTCCAGTAGGCTGCTAAATTGGGCTAGGTGCAAAGGCACGGAATAACCTAATTCTGAACTTTTCGATTCTCAATCCGAAAGCAGGTAGGCGATCGGCCAGGAGCAAACCTCGGTCTCGCATCTTCAGCTTGAAACCGATACCAGTACCAACATCGCACAAGGGTGTTTCATTGTGGCTGCTGCTACCGTGATCTGAAACCTGAATGAACAAGAGTGCCTTCGCAGGTTGGAGTGCAGTTGCTGCAAAACTTCTGCTCGCTACTGCGACTTGGTGGAAAAGACTGCGCACTGTGCATCACCTCTCGGGGAAGCGACAACCGCCACGACAACCGCCTACCGACATGCTGAAGAACGACGCTGCCTCAGGGAGGCCAAGTGGCTGCCCCGGTCTTGTCACCTGCGACGAGCTCCCCTCGCACCAAGTTCCTGGGCGCTGCTACATGAAGTCCATGCGGCTGCAATCCGCTTTCTCAAGCAACGCGGCTAGTCACAAAAAACTGCCGTGCTGCTAGCTGTCATGCATGACGGTCATAGCCTTCAGATGTTGCCAAGCCCGGTGAACAATATGAAAATTGATATCCTATAAACCCCACAGATTCCTAAGCCCTTCTGCCCTACTAGATTCTATACCCTAAACCCTAAACCCTAAATTCTGGATGCAATCCAAGCCTCAGTGCAAGGCAGTTCACGGCACTCTGCATTTTCACAGAGCGACTCCGCGACCGCCGGGCTTCCAAGTCCTGGTCCAAAACGGCTCTGCACACGAAGGCAATCAGACATCTGAAAAGGGGTTTAGGGTTTAGGGTTTAGGGTTTAAGGTTTAGGGTTTAGGGTTTGGGGTTTCGGGTTTAGGGTTTAGGGTTTACTGTTTAACGAACCTGCCCTGAGTTAAAAGCCACATGCGTAAACAAAAAGTCCAAGACAAGGCTCCCAACAGAGGATATCTCCATTTCGGAGGCCACATGCGACGACTGGCGATTCCTCAGTTTCAGAATTTTTAGACCAGTTAGATCAAGCACCAAGGCTGCATGCTCAAACCCTTTTGCAGCCCGGGTCGCCGGAAGGAAAACTGCCGAAAGCACCGGGTGGTCAAAGTCACCAGACCTTGAACGCACGGAGGGTCGCCGAACCACATCGAGCTGCAGCAAGCGTTTACCGGATACCGGAATTGTACCCTTTGAACCTTCAGGGGTCGCAAACCATGCATCTTTGGTGTTTGCTGCCCTGAGTTTGGGCCTGTCGGGAAGAACAGCTTCCACTTCCGAAGTAGTCATTCGGCATTCAGAGTTTCCCACCAAACAGCAGTTCATTGAGGGCTCTTGCTTATATCGGCTGCCTGGTCTGGAACATTGAACCAAACACGCCAGCCGGATCTCCACCACTTGGAACACTGCTTATCGATGCGCATACTTCAAAAACCTTCGAACTCGAACTGAACCTTCAGCTAAACGGAGAGAATCCTCAACTTGTGAACTTACAAGCTCAGGACATACTCATGAAGCTCCGATCCCAGCGATCTGAACCCCCCCCCAAACCGACACCCTCTTGTGATCAATTTGAGCCACTATCTTGTGCGACTTCGAGTATATAAGCCGCGGGGCCTAGGCTAGGGGTAGGCCTAGGAGTAGGGCCGCGACTTCGGGGATTCTTCCGTGGGAGACCTTTCGATGTGAAAAAGCGCCGGAACGCTGGGAGCGCTGGGATCTGCCGAGGGGCTGCTCGCTGCCACCGCGGTGAAGGCAAAGGCGCCCGATGTTCTCCTGTGCACTGAAGATCCTACAAGGGCTATCGGCGATGTTTTGTTACAGCATAGCAGCTTCTGGTATATCATTATGCTACGGTAGAATCATCTACAGTGAGGCGTTCGAAAGGAAGCAACCACTCTCTAGGAATTCCAGTTTTGGGGGCTTCTTCCGAGGGGCTTCAAGAGGGTGTGTAGGGTGAAGGGTGATGCAAGCTCTCCGAGGGCCTTGAAGCCGCAAAGGCTGTACGCGAAGGTCGAGCGCTCTTCGCCCGGCGGCACCGCGATCAGCCACCTGGGTATGGGCTGCTGGAGTTCGGGGGATGCTGAACTGAGCTTCTCGAAAGCCGAATACAGGAGCAGGGACTTCCCGTTGCAGCAATTTTTCCTCAAACTTGAAGTGCATGAGGTCATCGTTTCAGCATCCTGACTGCAGCATGCAGCTCTGACGAAACGCAGCCCAAAGGCGCTACGTACGCGGCATCTGTGCGAATCTCTTGCAGCTTGGCCCCGCTTTCGGGCTGCCACAAGCAGATGCAGTGGCTGCGATCCGCTGATATGAGCACCTGGAGCAGGCAGCATTACACGGTATTATGTATACATACATATGCTCACAGACATATTACTTCGCATTACATCCCATTGCATTACATTACATTTACGGCACATTACATGACCTGACATGACATTATGCTACATTCTGGAGGTGTGTGTGTGTGTACATGAGAATATCTATGTATATATATATATAAGCACATCTGATTGTGTGCGTGTATATACATATATACCCATGTACCTTCACACACTTAAAATCTGCATATCATGCTATCCTTTGATCTGCTGTTGTTAGTTTCTGGTTTTTCTAGTCGAGTCATTGTACAGTTGCCATACGGGCCGCCATGGGGTTGTTGCAGGTTCGGCCATTCTCATTTCAAGTAGGCCCCCATCCTTGATCCCTAAACCCTGGACCCCAAACCCTGAACTGTGAGCCCTAAAGTAGGGTTTAGGGTTTAGGGTTAATCTGCACGAAAAATACAAAAGGGACCCTTACTAATCACCGGGATCTTGCAGAATGAACCCAAACCTTTGCAGAAGGCCCCTCCTTGTCTGCTCCACTCCAGGCCACTGAGGTCACAGTACTGGCGCAGTTCAGCTTCCTGGGGGACACGGTGCTAGTAGGCCATGAGTACAAGAAACAGAACATGCTCTAGTATGTCTAAGGTCAAAGACGACCTAGAAGTAACTGCGAAACGCAAGAAGTGAACAGTCGCAAGTACAAGCAGTACCCCTAAACCCTAAACCCAAGTAAGGTGAAATAGGTTGCAAATACCAGTGCCCAAGCTGGCTCCAAGGTGATCTCGAAGGCCCCCGAGGGTTTAGGGTTTAGGGTGTAGGGTTTAGGGTTTAGGTTGTGCAAACTTGATTTTGTTCGTCTTTGATGGTATAGGGCTTGTAGGGCTCAGGTCTGACGGTCTAACAGGGTTTGAACATGGGGCCTAGGGGCTTAGCGACTAACTTACGGCTAACTTGAGGGCCTTGCTGAAAGGCTTACGTGAGGATTTGTGCTTTGGAAATGATTGCAGACTCCCAAGCACTCCGTCTCTTGTGTGGCACCGTGTCCTGTAAGCTCAGCCATAGAGGCACCCTCTACGAATGCTACACTTAAGCCTCAAACACAAACGCCTAAACCCTGAACTGTGCTGCGAAGCTCAAGTGCTGCTCCAGGCTGTCCGGGTTCCAGAGGACGATGCGGCCCTGAGGGCAACAACACGGGAATTGGCTGCAGGCGTACGATTGCGATTGGAACCCGACTAGGAGTCCTGCACAAGTCCGTAAGTGTGTATACTAGATACATACATATGTGCACGCAAACACTGCATTCTAAACATCCACATGTCTAATGTTAAAGGCCATATCAAACTTTATGTTGGTCTTGGAACCCATGCTTCTGTAATTTTCTATACCTACATACGAGGATGTGCCTACACATTCTAATGAGGCTGGAGACTTGGACACACTATGCCTCAACGCTCCAGCTGCCAGCGCGCCTGCGGCTTCTCTTGGCTAAAGGCTCCATCGCCCGTGATTGCAGCGCGCAGCTCCGGGACGAAGATCAGGCAGGTGACGAGTTTCTTGTACCTTTGCCGATTGCAAAAATAGCATGAAATAACCCTCAGGGCTGTCGAGTCTGCATACGTGCAGGGAAGCCTCCGCTTGAACATCTCAGGCTCCGAAATCTTGCGTTTTTGGTGGCTTTGGGCGGGTTTTTTGTTCTAAGTCCCCTTGGGAGTTCGATCAGCTCAAGTGCTCGGGCTGGACCTCGAGGGGATGATAGTTGTTGAGCTTTTGCGTTTTTGGTGCTCATGGGTTTGGGGGTTCATTTAAATGTTTAGGGCCTATAGGGCTTTAGGGTTTAGGGCTTAGGGTTTAGGGTTCAGGGATTCTCGGGACGTAGGCTTTCAGACTCTGCAGCTCTCGAGTGTGTTCTCGAGTTTGGTTGGGGTTCTGGAGGAGTTTGAGTCGAGGTCCATCAGGCGGCTTTCGTTGATGCCGCCTACCCAGCTGGCAAGGCCCCTAAAAGCTGCGACTTGTCATTAGGGGCTTCAGAAGCATCGTACGTCGCGCGGGGAGCGTGATTAGAACACAAGCAACCCTCCCTCTCAGCACTTGTGCAGAGAAACCTCTGGAACCTAATGGAACTAAATGGAGGCATGAAGACTCTACTTTACGGCGTGGCCGTAAGCCTTAAACTTGATTCTACGAGGCTTCAGCTCAAGCTACCTGGCTCTTTGCAATCCTGAACTCCGAACCAAAGGGGAGTGTCAGGAAAATTAGGGTACCTTATTTTGGGGTCCTTATAATAGGGATCCTGTTATTTAGGGTACTAAATTAGGGACCCCTATTTTCGGAAACCCCCAAATCTTTCTTCAAAAGCTGCTTCATCTCCGCCCGCATCTCACCGGTGTCTGCATCCCAAACTGCCACCTGACAAACACTGGAAACTCCTTGGGGATATGGTTTAGTAAGTTTATAGTATCAGTACATAGGGACTATAGGGGGACGTAATCAACCATAGATATGCTGATTCATAATTGAAAGGGCCCCTTTCCGTACGGACCACGGACGTCAAATATAGCAGGCAAGTAGAGCATCGGGCCGAGCGGCTTCATCAATCACCCTAAACCCTAAACCCAACAGCTTCTTTGTAAGGTGTTCAGCACTGTTGAAGAGGCCACCGCCTGTAGTCAGATGCGATACTGGTACTTAAAGGATCAGGGGACCCGGTCAATAGGGTTGTAGATATATAAGGTAACTCTACTGCTCAGGGCTTATAGCCCCAATCAAGGTACTTATGACCTTACTTACTGAGTCCCATGATCCTCGAAGTATTGGGG